ATTAACAAAGTTTGTGTACTCAGACCAGTAATATTTGGGGTCACAAGTTTTTGCCATGAATAGTTTGTGGGTCAGAAGATAAAAAGTTTGGGAATCACTGAGCTAAAGCATATTTCAGGCTATAAGTTAAAAGTGGCTAAATGCTAGCTAGAAGCTTGCAGTAGCTAAAAATAAATCTAATGTAGGCTGAAAGCAGCTAAAGGCTAGCTAATAGGAAAAGGCCAGCTTTAGGCAGAAGCAAAAGAAAGCTGGGGTTTAGATAAATAGTGAAAAGCTTTTAGTATTAAAATATATTAAAATAGTGCAAGAAGACTCAATACTGTAGCAGATTAAATAAGTGTTAAATGAGTGCAAGAAAATAAGAGAAAAATCATAATCGCTTTTCGAACTGGATTCTCGTATTTTCAAGGAGCACGTGAACGCAGCACATGATCAGAAACAAAGCCTAAGAGTTTGGTATATAATTAAAGATAGACGCACGGGTTCTTCAGCTCAGCTCTTGCGAAACGTGGACATGAATCCGCGGCCAATTGGCAGCCGGTGCGGCTTCTCCTCCCACCAGTAGGTCCAGAGAGCCGGTGACATGTTGCTGTCACCGACAGACAGCATGGCCGCCGGCCTGTAACAGATTGCCATCATTAGCCAGGCGCGAGCCGCTTTTTTGTCACGCGCGGGATTAAACACTTTAACGATCAGAAACATGTCGGCCGTGCTTTTAATGAAGACGTCGCTGAGGAAACTGCCACGGACCTTGGCTCGGCAGGTCCTCGGCTGCTGGTACCACACCGAGAGAGGGGTGTACGGGTACCGACCGAAACGGCACACCGGCAGGGAGCAGAGCGTGCAGCTGGAGCTGCTCGCCGCACTGAATCGAGGTCAGTATGGGGTTAAGGACGGCCATGACTAGCGATAGTTCCGGCTCCAACATCAATAACTATTTTATTTATTATTATGCTGCATTAAGCATCGCTTAAAACAATGTAGCCTTGTGTTTCCATTCAAACTAGCTACTTTTACTAGATTTGTTTATTTAGAGCTGTGTGGCCTGCTAGCGGAAATAATCTTTAGCTGATTAGCACCGAGAGGACAGACTCATTTTGTGCTGCTTTCTGCCCAGACAACGGTCTAGCTCGTCTGGTGGAAGCATACAGGACACATGGACACAAGGCTGCTAAAATTAACCCCTTACTGCCCCAGAAGCCTGTTGTTGACAGAGTCCCGGAGATCGAGATGTTGACCGGAAGCGTGGGCGGAACATTGAACACAACAGGTGAGGGTCCAGGATCAGCTTCATATCAACACACTGATTAAACTATAATATCTGTGTATTTAATCAAGCCTAACGTCACAGTAGTGATGGGATGATGATACCTCAATGGGTGTACTGACATTACACAAAGTGTGTTGACACTGTGTTGGTCACTCAATAGTGACCCCTGCAGTAGTTATGCAGTTATTGCAAGTAAAGAAAATGAAAATAAAATGGAAAAACTTGCACGCTGCTGTGGAAGCCCATTTCCGCCACCCTGATAAAAAAATAAAACTTGTATCATAATAATGAGATAGCTAAGTCATAGCTAAGTCATAATTATGAGATAGTATCTCATAATAATGAGATACTATCTCATAATTATGAGATAGTATCTCATGAGATAGTATCTCATAATAATGAGATAGTATCTCATAATTATGAGATAGCTAAGTCATAATTATGAGATAGCTATGTCATAATTATGAGATAGATAAGTCATAATTATGAGATAGTATCTCATAATTATGAGATAGCTAAGTCATAATTATGAGATGGCTAAGTCATAATTTTGAGATACCTAAGCCATAATTATGAGAGTCTCATAATTATGGCTTAGGTATCTCAAAATTATGACTTAGCTATCTTATTATTATGAGATATTAAGTCATAATTATGAGATAGCTGTCTCATAATTATGAGATAGCTGTCTCATAATTATGACTTAGCTGTCTCATTATTATGAGACAACTATCTCATAATTATGAGATACCTAAGCCATAAGCCATAATTATGAGACTATCTCATAATTATGACTTGGCTGTCTCATTATTATGACTTAGCTATCTCATTATTATGAGATACCATCTCATAATCATGGATACAAGTTTTATGGTTTTTATCAGGGTGGCGGAAATGGGCTTCGATACGCTGCAAACCCACCATCAGCCTGTGAAATATTGAATCATAAGTTCTTGACTTAAAATATGATCTAATCATTGCATAATTTCATTTGCTCAATTTGTTTACTGAGTTAAGTTGTTCAGGAGAAGAGTTTAAAACTTAAAACCTTGTTTGTGTAAACTGTTTGTCTAAAATGAGTTGTAAAATACAGCAGATTTGTCTAATAAAATTCAGTTAAAATTAACTTATGTATAGAATTTTGTTAAATGTTAAATCATGAGAAATAAAATAATAAATAATATACAAGAAACAGTAAAAAATTATTAGTTTATGCATTTTTATTGAGGAACAGAAGTTTTTGAAGTGTCTTTGCTCCAAGACAATTTCTTTTAGAAACCAGTTCTGTCTTAGAAAAACTCTTTCACAGGGTACAGATGAAGATGGCGAGCATAAAAATTTAAGTGTGAGTTGATAAAGGTGTTGATATTTTTTCTGGATTTTTTCCAATATTGTAACAGGTCTTGTGTTCTGGGTGTGTTGCTTTCAGCCAAGTAACATTGGACTTCAATTATGGAATTGGTTGTATCTTCTTCTTCTCCTCAACCTTCATATCAAGAGGTTTTCAGAGATTGTACCACGTTTTAGAAATAAATCTTTGTTAATCGTTAGTTTATTTGTTTTTATTATTATTATTATTATTATTTGGAGTCACAAGATCAAAATTATACCAGACTGGGGAAACCTTTTTGGAACGATCCATGAAGTCAGTGGAACAAGATGAGGGTGAGCAAAAATCCAACAAATCTGCAACATGTCGATGCAGCTTGTTTCCTTATAAACACACTTTGGTGCAGCACATCCAGACAGTATCTGTCACATGACTTTTTTCTTAAAGTGAAACACGCACCAATACGGGTTTCACTCTTGTGTGCTTGGCACAGTGCTCACGCACCAGTGTTGTTCGTCCCATCACTACATCATAGTGCATTCATGTCAGGTTTTCTTAAGAAAATGGAAAATCCTTTAATATTTTTCTTTCTATTTTGACCCCGAAAGCTAAATAAGATGTCATGTAATTCAGATCACATCCACTCATTCATTCCTATATTTAGATGAGTTTTCTGTATGAACTTGTTGCTTGTCATAAAGTTGGCATCATGCATTTTTGCCTCAGGCGAGGATTAGTCTTCACCTGCATGACTAAAGCCAAGACTGCTCTACTGGTTTTCATAAAAAGCCTACAGATTTTACTGTAAAAGCTGGAATTATGTAAATAATTAGATGTTAAGCTGATAATTTAATGTGGACACAGTCCAGACGAGATACAGCGGGTAAAATAAGTGTTGAACACGTCACCATTTTTCTCAGTAAATATATTACTAGAGGTGCTAATGACATGAAATTTACACCAGATGTTGGTAACAACCCAAGTGATCCATACATACAAAGAAATCAAACCATAAATGTCCAGAAATGAAGTTATTTGTAATAATGTGGAATGGCACAGGGAAAAAGTATTGAACACATGTACTGAAATTTATCTAATACTTTATGTCGTGGCATGATTTACCAAGAATGCAGAAACACGTTGGAATAAATGCACAGAAAGTCTGCGTGTATGGT